TGTCGTGACGGATCTTAATAAAGTGCTTGGAAGGTTCTCGAATTTCAATAAATTACTTCGAACATTCTCTTATTTTTTAAGGTTTATGCAAAATTGCAGGGCTTCTAAAAGAGAGGAACCACCTAGAAGAGGTCCATTAACGGTAGACGAGCTTGATAAAGCATGGACAGTGGTAATCACATTAGTTCAACGTGAAGTTTTTGGTGCTGAAATTAAGTCTATAGAAGGGGGATGTGGGCTGGACAGACGAAGTACAATTGTATCTCTTAATCCGTTTTTGAACAAGGATGGGCTATTAAGGGTAGGAGGTCGGCTAGCCAAGGCTAATCTTAGTTATAGTCAGCGGTTTCCAGTAATACTTCCAAATAAACACGACGTCACGCGTTTAATCATTCTATGTGAGCACTACAAGCATTTACATGCAGATCCGCGGGCACTCTTGGCAGTAATGCGTCTCAAATACTAGCTCATATTAAATCGTCAGACGATAAAAAGTGTTTTATCGCGTTGCAATGTATGTTTTAGGGCGAAACCAAGGGATTTTAGGCAATACATGTGCGAGTTACCAAGCAATCCTATTGTTCCAAGTCGGCCATTCGAAAATTGTGGGGTTGATTACGCAGGACCATTTTTTGTTAAATCAGGCACAGTTAGAAAACCTGTTATTACTAAGGCGTATTTATGCGTCTTTATATGCTTCGCGACTAAGGCGGTCCAATTAGAATTGGTCGTTGATCTAACGACTGAAGCTTTTCTTAACTGCTTTAATGGGTTCATTGCTCGTAGAGGACTTTGTAGAAATGTGTACTCTGACAATGCGACGAATTTTATAGGGGCTAATAATGAACTTTTTACAGGATAAAAGTAACCAGGAGGTTTTCTCACAGTACTTTTGTAACGGATCAAGAATTGGGCATCATTCTAAACTTATATTTATTATATTTATTAATAATTAAAGAATATAACAATATTCTATTATTTGCATAGTAATTAATATTGCATATTGACGAGACTTTTAGGGGGTTCATCGCTCTTTGCGAAATATGCAATAATGCTTTTTAAGCATTTCGTCAACACCGTATTACTATTGTACTAATTTATGATTATTCACTCAATAGATGTATTAAACTACACTTGGTTTTACTGGCTATGATCCCATCCCTTTACATGGCGATCCTGCCTGCGACATTTTTTAAAGTAAAGTTCAAACAAAGTTTGAAGTTAGAACGTAAAGTTTAAACGAAGTAAACGTGAGTTCAGTTAGTGCTTTGGTTAGTGCTTTAGTCAGTTATGGTCAGTTTAAGTTTATGGTACATATATAATAAAATAATCTGGCGAAATGGGTAGCTCCAAATCGAAGTCAACAAAACAGGACCTTACCGAAAGCGGAGTTGTAAACTCGAACTTCATAGTGCAAGAAGAGGAATATAATGTGACAAAGGACGTTAAAGTTGTTATGTACCTCATAGTATTTTTTTTTGGGTGCGATACTGGCTCTTAAAATAACTCAGATGTGTAGAAGAAACATTAAGAAGCAAGTAGAGAGAGACTTTGCAGCTTCTAACCCCAACATTTTAGTGCCGCTAAAACGTGAAGCTTCGACTTCAAACCCGATAATATAATTTCTGATATTATTAAATCGGCGCTACGCGACGCGTACCCCCATACGAACAATTATTTATTGATAAAACTCAAATAGGTGGCCGCAATTCCTGAAAGAAACTATAAAGTGCGTGTTTATAAACTTAGTGCAGTTCATCGGTATAAAAATTAGTTCGCGCGTTGGGCACAATGCATATTGGGCAGCAGGGAAGAGAAAATTAATGGACCTCTACACCTACATATAAGTAATAGTATGGTATGTTAATTTTAGCAATATTTGTAGTGTTTTATTTTAATTCTATTAAGTTATCGCTTATGATTGTTTTTCTTTTAAATGTCATTATGACAAAGTATAGTAAAGAGCTTCTATGTCGGTAAATTGGGAAAAGCACCATGCCATTCTACTTCAGCAAAAAAGTAGTATTTTAAATCAAGCAAAAAGAGTTATAAAAAAAGCTGTACCTAAAAACGAAACGATAAGAAATGAAACAAGGGACAATTTAGTAGAGCTCTTCAACCAAACTGCAGGCTATATCAAGGGTATTTTGGATGAATTAGACAAGAAACTAAAAATATATATTTAGTAATTAGAGATAAGGTAGTTAGGGCAATTCAAATATTAGGAGTTAAATATAGGGTCCCGTTAGGTTCCATAGAAAAAATTGATACTCGGACGGTAGACGAGTCCTATATATCTTCAGACGACGAAGAGGAAACTGACGAAGAGGAAATTAATGAATCGGAAATTATCAAAACAGAAATCATGCCTTTAATAAATTTAGAATTTTTTAATTTAGCAAGTAAGATAGTTCCCAAAGAGTTCGATGGGGATCATGATAAATTACAATCATTTTTAGACGCACTTACGTTACTTAACATTAACGTAAATGACCACGCCAACAATGCGATAGCTTTCGTCGAAACGCGTCTTACAGGCAAAGCGAGAGATTTGATAACTACTGAGGCATCTCTTGCAGACATTATCAATACTTTACGGTTAATAATAATAATAATAATAATTTATTCATGTCAAAAAAATTACAAAGAAACAATTTACACACGTCAATAAAATACAGGAAAACAACATTCAAACAATTTACTAAATAAATCTTACTAGCTAAATACTCAGGTAGGACAATATAATGAAAAATCAAAACCCATAAATTCATGATAAGTATAGAAACTGTTATCAATTAAAATTTTTTTAATTTCTCTTTTAAAATCTTTCAAACACATACTTTTAAAATGCGTTGGCAGAGCATTGTATAGTTTTATGGCTCCATAGCCCGGTCCAGTCTGACACCTTCTCAGTCGCCAATATACAGGGTGTCCCAGAAATGAGTGTAGATATTTTAACTGGTAGTATAGTTCAACCCCAGAAACACGCCTATGAGGTTTTTTTTGCGAAAAAAAAATGTTGAAAATTTGATATTTTTCTTGACATTTTCCGGAAAATGTTGAAAAACTTTTGAGTGTCACTGATCACTCCCCGGGAAATTCGTTTACCGGGCATAGAGAGTGTCGGAGAGAATGCAACGTTGCCACCTCCTACCATACCCACATTCTGTATGTTTATCTATAAATTCAATTATTTTAAGTAGCTACAGAAAAAATACGAAAATTAATTTTATTCATATTAGTGTAGATTGCTCTACTAATTCTAGAGAAACGCGCAATATTTTAAATACTTTTTACAGTGGAGTAAACTGAAAAAATAAATCCTTAACAATTATAACTTCTTTTTCGCCATATTAGGAAATATTTTCAATCGTTTCAATAAACAATTATAACCTTTAATGTTTAGTTAGAGCTTACCCTTTTAATGAAAGTGTTTTTTATCCAGCACACATATACGCAAACACATACTCACCAAATATCTATTAAACTGAACATCACAAACCTATCACATGCCTATCACTTTTAAAATATTATTTAAAATTTTTCACATGATAATAATCAAACACTAAACTCATAAATACAATAAAAATGTTAAAAAAACTTGCTTTAATAACTCACTTATATCCGGCAGCTGATGGTAGACAGTCCGGGGTTTTTCGACATTTCTTCAAAACGAACGCAACCCCGACAACGATTTCGAAAACACTGGAAGGAATTACAAATTACAATTTTTATTTAGAATTTTTTGACTTAGCGTCCTCTACTGGACTGATGTATTACTATTATGGGTCAACGTTTTGGTGGTTGTATAAAGATAGATAAATCAATTTTCTAAATGTTTAATGTATGGAGTAGGGATATCCCAAAAATAAAATAAAAGTACAAGAAAGAATTAAGGTAAAATCAAAGAATATTCTACGTTATCTAAAATATAAAAATGTAGGAAGCCCCGACAAAAATCTGACACCTGATATCAAAGTGATAAACAAACATCAGCGCACGCGGCAGCGAGCACTTACACTTAATTTTTCAGTTCATTGCTAGATGGCCTATTACTAGGGATGCACTGCAAACAAATATTCCAGCAAAACTAAAGTGTTTTTTCTTATTCTAAATTCTAACAAATAAATAAACCTGTAAAACTGTATAAATAAAATCGGTCTTCGATTTAAAAAAAGATCGATTATACCAAAAATCGTTTGATAAAATCACGTCGATTTGATAAAAATCGATTCGAATCGTACATCCCTAGTAGGTGTGTGTAGCTTTAAGGTTATGTTTAAGGTTATTCGTGGGTTATTAAACTCGCACAAAACAAAACAGAAAACAACAAAAAAACAATGCAAACAATGCCAAATAAACCTGTAAAAAAGTACTTTTATTATTCAAAATGAAATATCATATAATCTCGAAGTTGGTATACGAATATATTTTGATTTATTTATAATGTTTTGTGTCAAAAAATATGTGAGAAATGAGGTAAACAGTTTAAATGTCTTAATAAATTCGTTTTTAATTTATTAAACTTTCAGGTATCTACCTAATGGTAGGAAGAAATTAATTATGTAATGGTAGGAAAAATAATTTCACTTTAATTACGTATTAGAAAATCAGCAGAGGGATTCTGTAAGCTCCGTAGCAAGAAATTTCCTGTCTAGCCTATGCTATTTGTATACGATTGATGAGTCACTAAACAAGAGAAGTGTTTACAGAATCGGGCCTCAGTTATCTTAAATTAGGATGCATCAATGGAGAAGAAGGCAATTGTAATCACAATACAATAATAGATCTACAAATACCAAGCAATACATTAAATCAAAAATCTCAGTAACACTCTTGTAATTATGTACTCCCTGTGGTCTTATTAAGTATAAAGTTTTGTTTTATATGAAAATAATTATCCCATTTAATTATGCATTAAATTTTAGTGTCAGCTTATTGATAGCTCGATTACCAGTCAAATAGTTTCGATGTTTTCTATACTATGAAGAAAATTTGATCTGATTAGATTAATTCAGATGTAAATTTATGTTATACGGTTAAATATTTTTAAACAAACTAAGAAAGTTCTCTTCAGAAAAGTTCTGGTCTGAAACTGCAAATATTAAGGAAAAAGTTATACATGTAGTTTTCTATTCATAAATGATATTATTGATTTTATTCTAGGTGAATGTATCGAGTCATATATTATGCAGAATATATTGAGAAAAATGGTAAACTAACTAAAAGTGCTAACAAAATTTCTTAGGAAGTTATCGATATACCTAATTATTAGAAGCTGTAACAAATATTCAAAGAGTCAGAGTATACTTTATTAGAAGTGTGTTAGATAGAATTATACACTTTAAAGAAAATATCTTTTATTATTGCAGGTAATGCATATTGTGTAATGCATATAATATGTGAAATCTATTATTATATACAAAGATTGAAAATTATTTAAACAGCTACCTGTAATGGGTTATTAAAAATTGAACATATTTACACACAGAATATTGTGGATATGGATATCTGGAAAGCATGTTATAACCATTTTTATTTTTAGGATTTATGAAATGATTACATAAATATACTAACAACAAATTGCAATGCATCTGTATATTAGAGACAAAGATGAAAGAGAGTAACAAGAATATATGTATTCAAAAGAAAAAATATCAAAGACCATTTGTAGTAATTAAAATTAAAGAATAAAATACATAAAATGTACCATATGATCGAAAAAAACGGCGTCCAGTTGGCTGGGAAATGACGATCAATGACATTTCCTATATAAATTTACATATAAAATGACAGCGACCTTCATTTCATAGCCATCGTTGACGCCGTTTTTCTCGATCATACGGTACTTTATGTTTGAAAAATTATCATTTCATATAAAAATTAGACTCCATCTAGAGTATATTTGAATATAAATGTTTTTTATGTATTGAAGAGGGGACTGTAGTTTTCAAATATAATAAAGAAAAATAGACTAAAAAACATGTGTGTAAGTTCTTTTTAAACTATTCTGTAGTTACGTAAATGTGTTTCAAATAGGTTGCTTTTCACATCAAAGTCAATACACAGTAATTATGCTTTACTTTTCAAAACACACTCTTTGTTTTTTTATTATCAGAGAGTTATTAATATTAGAAAATTTAGTTACATGAATATAATAGGAGTAAATATTATGTTTCAACTTTCAAATAATTAGAATATGATATGAGTCATAATATCTTAAATATGATTGCTAATAAAATATCTAGTTTATACACATTTAGATATATCTCTTTAAATATAAATTAGTATTGCCACCATGCGATTAATGGGAAATACAATATGGTCGTGAAAAAAAAAAACGGCGTCAGCGATGACTATGAAATAAAGATCGCTGTCAATTTATGTGTGAAATTTTATGGAGAATGTCATCGACCGTTATTTTCAAACCATTCTGGACGCCGTTTTTTTTTCAACCATACGGTATTTCTAGGTATGGAATTATGTCTCTAATATGTAGTTAGGTAATTTTTTCCATTTGCCTATTGTTAATTATAACGTCGTCAAACAATAAAATTTGCTATATTTTTTACTTAAATTTTTTTAGTAATATCAGAACATGTTTTGAATAGTTAATTAGTAATAAAGCTACTAACATGTTCAGTTATTTTTTTTTCTCTAAAGCTTTTTTGATAAAGAAATAAGTATACATGCTAAGACGTTAAATTGCCTGAGAAATTACGATCGATGCCATTTACCATCCACTTTTACACTATAAAATGCCATCGATCGTAATTTCAAAAGCAGAAAACTCGCCGCCGTTTTTTCCAATGAAATTGGAGGTGGGGAGAAAATTACAGATTCCTACTAACGACATTATTAATCGGATGTACACATAACATGTACACTATTAGAAATCGATCTAATTTCTAATATTATCGAGATTTTAAAATTCGAGAAAGTGATCGGAGATTGTGTTTAAAGTGTTGTGAAATGTTCGTTAGTGCATATTTTTGTGTCGGTAATCGGTATCGGTATAGGCAAATCGCAATGGAGTATAGAAATTCAGAGAAGGTGGATATGTTAAGAGCATAGGTACTTTCTGGCAGGGGAAAGCGCTGTAGAAGCTCGGAGACTTTATTCCGAAGAGTATCCGAATAGATAAATCCCTAATGCTCGAACCTTTGTAAGTATGGTTCAGCATTTGAGGGATTCGGGAAAAGCAATGAAAAATTGCTGCAAAACGTTAAAAATTCCATGCTCAGAAGAAGGAGAGCATGTATTGGAAATGAAGGTCGTCATTTTGAACAATTATTATAATAGCATGCAGTCAAGAAGCGAAGGGTATACCGGGTGGTGCATCATCGTTGGAAATATAGGATATCCCATGCAAATTTTGAACTGTCGAGATATTGTATCCCCTTGTGCAAATTTGTAATGTATCTTTAAAAACCATTTACGATTTAGCTCTAAAATTAATAGGGGAGCCAATATTTCCACAGTTGAAAATTTGCATAGTGTTGTTAAGAATTGTAGTGAAGTGATGTTATTTAGTGTAGTGCGAGGGGTGTTTCACTGTTGGAATTACATGTACATTTTCTTGGCAGTCGCTGGCAGTCTTTGGCAGTCTTACGGCAGTCGCCTATAATTACATGGCAGTCATAGGCAGTCGCTCGGCAGTCGATCGGCAGTCGCTTGGCAGTCGCTAGGCAGTCGCGGTAGTCACTGGGCAGTCGCCAGGCAGTCGCGGCAGTCGCTGGCAGTCTCTTTGGAATTCAGAAGTCAATCGGCAAATTTCGGGCTGTTTTGTATAAAACTTGGCTTCAATTTTTGAAGCAAATATATGGTGGTGCTAAGCAAATTCGAGGTACGAGCATTGGTATCTCGGAAACCGTAGATACAAAGATGGTTAAAATTGGGGCAAAGTTGCGCCCTGAGATGTAATACCTCAAGATGCTATCAAAAAAAATTAAAATTTCCAGGATAGCTGAGTTTTTTTGGAAAAACGAATTTTTTTGAAAATCAATTTTATTTTTTCCTGTCGTTACTTTTGTAAATAAAAAACTAATTACATATTCTCATAGCCACTTTATTAGGGCTATCTGTTGAAGTATTTTTAGATTTTCAAATTAGCGGATAATTTGTGAGATACAGAGGCCGACTCCATTTTTTTAAATACGGACCTGCATTTTTTTTGTTTTAGTTTTTGTTGAAGTTTGGTCTCCTGAGAGTACAACGATATGCACACACTTTATACTTTTTTTGTTTTGGGTACCTTAACAACAACAAAACTATTTAATTATTATTTAAAATATTTTCAAGTCCGACCCTGGTTTCTAAAATAGTTAATCTGATTATATTCATTGCAATAATATTGATCAGCGCAACATTGAATTAGGGAACATCAGGGCCAATTGAAGAAGATTCAAATAAATAATATCCAGCTCAGCAATTTAAAGATATTATTTTTAAATTTTTTTATTGTGAATTTGAAATTCTCAGTTTACGATCTAACAATATGCATAATATTAATCGTAGTTATTATAAATAAATCACCTACAAACTAGTTTCTAATGCTCTACATTTTCGAAAGGGTTACCACCTTGCCTATTGCACAAGTTTACTATTCTTTCAATTTTATTTATAGCTCTTTGAACATATATCTTCTTCTAATACTTCCGAATGAATTTTGTACTCTTTATTGTAAATGTTGAAAAATATTGATTTCACTTTTACAAATGATGTCAAGTAATGCAATTATTTTTTTATTGAATTTGATTTTTCGTATTCAATGTTTTTACTCAATTCATAGTTAAATTTTGATGGCTTATCAATATTGTAACGATGAATAATTTAAATATTTAAAAACACAGCCGGACTTGAAATAAGTTTAAATAAATTTTGTGTTTAAATGTCTGGAAACAAAAAAAAGGAAAAGTGTGCGCATATCGTTGTATTCAGGGAGACTGAGTTTCTTCAAAATCTGAAATAAAAAAATGCAGGTCCGTATTTAAAAAATACCAAGTCGGTCTCTGTATTTCATAAATTATCAGCTAATTTGAAAATCTAAAATACTATCAGATAAAGCCATAATAAAGTGGTTTTGAGAATGTGCAATTAGTTTTTGATTTTCTAAAAACTAACGGCAGGAAAAATAAAATTGATTTTCAAAAAAATCCGTTTTTTTTTCCAAAAACTGCAAAGCAATCCTTGAAATTTTTTAAACTTTTTTATGGCATTTTGGTGAACATCCCAAGGCACAACTTTGCCCCAATTTAACCATCTTCGTATCTATTACGGTTACCTAGATACCAATGCTCGTACCTCGAATTTGTAGCACCCTGTATATGTATATTTTTTTTCAATTTAATGTAAAAAAACTTGCAGCATAATTCTTGTTTAACAAAATATATATAAAACGACTCATGATGATCGGATAAAAGAAAATTTTCTCGAAAATTTCACATACATTCAGATAGATTTTTGTTTTATGGTTAATGATGTTAAATTAATTCATAATAACTGCAGTATAATATATAATGAAAAGCTATCGAAGTAGGTAATATATGAGAGACCCGCCTCCTCATTTTCTGTGATTTTCCCTCCTTGTACCGTTATTCTACGACATCGAACTCTTCGCTTATAGGGACGTACAGAAATATCGATATACTACTTTTCGATATTTCATTATATTAAAAATGTCTATCTATTTAGATAATAACTATCGATCCATATATAATAAGTCGATTCATTCCTACTTTTTCTTCAAAGAGGAGGAAAGAGGGGGTGATATAGAGAAACAAAGATATTCTTATCCCCACTTATTTCTACCCCCACTATATCAATATCCAATCATATATAGTAAAACATCCAAAAGTAAGTATTAGTTCAGAATGACCGACGAAAATAATTTACAAACCCTCTCTCAACAGACGAGTTTTACTTTTCAACATCAATCTTAGTGTATTACAATCTCCTCCTAGGGAAGAAGAAGAATCTAGAACCTGCGAACAATATACAAAAGAAAATGTAGAGGAAATTAAGCGACAGTTTTGTGCTATTTGTCAAGACATGATTGATTGCTACGAAATTTGTGTGCCAAATACATGTTCACACTTTTTTTGCTTAAACTGTATATTAACATGGAATGATTTACATTATGATGCAAAAATGACAACTAATTGTCCACTATGTGGTTTACATTATAAATATTTAGTGCAGTTTCGAAAAGATATAATTAGATATTACTTTGTCCAGAGTATAAAAAGGGGATTAAAATAAATGTGACTATAAATATTTGCAGTTTTATTTCACATCATGTAAAAATTCTATTGATTTGACAGATAAATATCATTTAAAAAAAGTTCTAGAGATCCAGAGATCCAATGTTTCCATCAATAAAATATTTCATTTAATTCTAAACACACATTAGAAAACAACAACACAACCAGTTTAATATATTATTATTAAATATAACCACATTTTATCGATATTTCAAATCATTGCTCATCTCTAATATAAAATTTAAAAAAGAAAACCAGTACCGCGAAGACATATAGGTTCAACGATCTCAGGGTCAACCTGTTAGCTTTGGAAGCAGACCTGCCAGACCTGAAAACAGACCAGTTGCTTGGTGTGCTTGCTTGCAAAAGACGTTCAGTCAGTTAAAAACGATTAGTCAGTTAAAGTTAAGATTAGGTTAGAAGTCGTTGAAAGTTAATATCTATAGTTTTGGTAAGTTATAGTTTTACATATTAATCTAATAAAATTAAGACTTTCTATTCAAAAACTTGTCCAGTTCTTAATTATATTTTTACACAAATAATATTCTTCAAAATTTAACTCGTTATTAATATTAAAATAGCATTATAAAAACACCCAGGTAAATAGATTAACAAAAGATAGATAAAAATAGTCAGTAAATCACTATGGACAAATAAACAATACAAAAACACAACTAAACATTAACTACAGTAAAATTAAAATAGACAAACTATACAAACAAACAGATAAACCACAAAACAGACAACAAAGACGCTAAGAAAACTGTCTGTTTAAATAATTTAATTCACATAAATAGTAAAAAAATATAACCAACAAACACTCAACAATAAAAATAAACAAACAACACGGCTAACAAACAGATAAACCACAAAACAGACAACAAACACACTACCAAAACTGACTGTCTAAATTTAATTCATCATGGATACATGAACAGTAACTAGAGTAAAATTAAAAAAATAGACAAACTACACCGCTAACAAACAGATAAACCACAAAACAGACAACAAACACACTACCAAAACTGACTGTCTAAATTTAATTCATCATGGATACATGAACAGTAACTAGAGTAAAATTAAAAAAATTGACAAACTATACAAACAAACAGATAAACCACAAAACAGACAACAAACACACTACCAAAACTGACTGTCTAAATTTAATTCATCATGGATACATGAACAGTAACTAGAGTAAAATTAAAAAAATAGACAAACTACACCGCTAACAAACAGATAAACCACAAAACAGAAAACAAACACACTAACAAAACTGACTGTCTAAATTTAATTCATCATGGATACATGAAGAGTAACTAGAGTAAAATTAAAAAAATAGACAAACTACACCAACAAACACAAAGCCACAAAACAGACAACAAACACACTACCAAAACTGACTGTCTAAATTTAATTCATCATGGATACATGAACAGTAACTAGAGTAAAATTAAAAAATAGACAAACTACACCAACAAACACAAAGCCACAAAACAGACAACAAACGCACTACCAAAACTGACTGTCTAAATTTAATTCATCATGGATACATGAACAGTAACTAGAGTAAAATTAAAAAAATAGACAAACTACACCAACAAACACAAAATCACAAAACCAACTAACTGCCCAATATAATATACAATTTCCAAATTTCTTTCATGATTAGGTCATAGATACAACATAATAATATTTTAATAATATAAGTTAAAACATAGAATTCTTTTGTAGAACTGAAATATCAACATATTCAATTGTACATCTTGTGTTAAATCTTTTAATCGTAAAGATAATCTATTACGCCATATGAGGACTGCCTGTAGCAAGTCAAGTTTTTTCAACCGATGGCTTGGAAAGTCTGCTGAAAAAAGGGTAAGACTTTTTCTCACTGTTTTACAATGTTAGTCTTATAAATATTTTCTTTTATAGAGAGATTTTTGTAAAAAAATCGGGAATCGCATGACAAAAGATCGATTTTCTGCAGAATCGATTTAAATCGAACATCCTTAGTCACGAACCAATTATAAAAGAATCTGCTTTTACCGCCCGACTGCAACAATATTTCTCACTACGATTGAGCTTGCAAGGTGTTTGTGTGGTTTCGTGTTTTAATAATTCTCGACTGTTTACAGGTAAATATTTTTTACCTTCTTCTTTCCAAAATTTATTCATAACCTTTTAAATATTCAAATATACAACATAATCTTATATTACAGAATTAAATTGAAACATGTTCACATGTTCATCTTGTCAAAAAGCGTTCAGTCGTAAAGATAATTTAACTCGTCACTTAAAGAATGCGTGCAAAAAGTCTTCTTTTCTAAACCGTTTTTTGGGGAGGTCAGCAGCTGAAGAAAAAAGTAAGACATTCCCATTGTATAATTTTATAAACTAACAAAATAATTTCATTTATAGAAAAATATTGTTCAGAATGTAAAGAACATATTTTACAAAATTTGTGGGTTGGTCATCTGCGTTCAAACAGTCACAAAAACAACTGTAAAACGTTGGAGGAAAAAGGAATTCAAGTAATAAAATCAGCTTTCAAGGAAAGGATAATATCCTACAGATTATCTACCGAAGAAAATATTTTAAATGTTAAAAACTATTTTAAAATATTGGAACAAAAGATTCTACGGGTGTTTGACAATCAACTGAAAAAACATACTTGTATTAAAGTCAATATAGAACTTTTTGGATATTACTATAACCCCAGTAACGATAATCATGATGTCAAATCGTTCAACACTCCATTTAAAGTAATTTGTAACAGCAGTGCAACAAAGGACTTAGTAGAAGAGTTTTTAACAATTATTGACAACAAGGCTGATGAATTCGCAGAAAAGGACTCTGGTAAGTGTTATATTTTTAATATAAATGTAACATAATACATTAATTTTATTTTTTGTTTCAGGATGGATTTTACTAAATCTCCTTTTTTTGGAAATTAACATCAACAAATTCAACCCTTTGAGAGCGTCATCATTTATTGAACTTCCTCCCGAAATAACTCAACGTCAAGCTGTCGTCAACATAAGAAATAACGATGACTACTGCTTCGCATGGTCCGTAGTTGCAGCCCTTCATCCTCCAACAGGTGTTGATTTTCAAACATCATCATACCCACACTATTCAACAGTTTTGAACACTACAGGTATTGATTTTCCAATATCATTAAAAGACATTAAAAATTTTGAAAATCAAAATAATATTTCTATCAATGTGTACGGTTTAGAAAAATATTATAATAAAATTTCTAATAATGAAGAATATGAAATAATTGGTCCTCTACATTTTTCTAGTGATAGAAAAAATATTCATGTTAATTTATTATTAATAAATGATGATGACGGAAATTTTCATTATTGCTACATTTCCAATCTTTCTAAATTAATTTCTAAACAACTTAGTAAACACAATGGAAGAAAATATTTGTGTGAAGGATGTCTTCAATACTTTGACACAGAACAAAAATTACAGTATCATAATAGTTATGATTGTGATCATGTTAGAATTAATTTACCTTCTAAAGAATTATTTAAAGACAAATACGGAAATGTAGCATATGAAAACACATTAAAATATGTTAATTATCAAAAGCAAATGAAAGTTCCTTTTATAGTATATGCAGATTTTGAATGTATTTTAAAACCTTTGAATGAGAATTATGATGTAGAAAATCCAAATAATTTATAAGTATACACTAAAAAAATTTGAACATATTCCATACTCTTTCTTATGTATTACATCAAATGTTCATTTGATGATGAATATTCTAAGTTTGAAAAATATAGAGGTTTGAATAGCGAACAAGTTTTTATAAATTATCTAGAACGAGATGTATTAAATTTATATCACACTTTTCTAAGAAATCCTAAAAAAATGAATACTCTATCCCAATTAGAACAAACTACACATAATAATGCCACACACTGTCATATTCGTGAAAAACCGCTTTTAGGGGATAAAGTTGCCGATCATTGACACATTACAGGCAACTATAGAGGGCCGGCTCACTCTTTATGTAATATAAACTTTAAAATTCCTAATTTTATTCCAGTTATAATGCACAACTTACGTAATTACGACAGTCACCTATTTACAAAGAGTATGTGTTCAAATAAAGAACAACTATCAGTAATTGCCCAAAATAAAGAGAAATATATTTCTTTTGAAAAACACATTCTCGTAGATAATTATTTTGATAAACATACAAAAAATTTAAAAAAAAGAAATTTATCATTGAGATTTATCTTTGAGTGACTCCTTTCAATTCTTATCATTTCCTCTATCTAATTTAGCAGATAGTTTAAAAGATGAACAATGTAAAGAAATAAAAAAGATTTTCGAAGATGAGGAACAATTTAAACTTATTCGTCAAAAAGGTGTATTTCCATATAGTTATATTGACAGTTTTGAAAAATTAGAGGAAACTGCTTTACCTAAAAAAGATCAGTTTTTTAACAGTTTAACAGATGAACATATTTCCGACGAGGAATACCAAAGAGCTCTTAAAGTTTGGGATCTTTTCGAATGTGAAAGTATAGGACATTATTCAGATATATATTTGCTATCAGATACTTTACTTTTAGCTGATATTTTCGAAAATTTTCGAAAAACATGCTTGTCTACGTATAAACTAGACCCTGCACACTTCTACACATTTCCCGGCTTATCATGGGAAGCGTGTTTACGCTATACAGGCATCGAACTGGAATTATTAACAGATCCGGATATGTTGCATTTTTTCAAAAATAGCGTTCGTGGTGGGGTAAGTTCATGCATAACACGGAAATCAGAGGCAAACAATCCTTTTCTATCAAATTTTGATGCAACAATACCTAATAAATATATAATGTACTATGATGCAACAAATTTATATGTATTTGCTATGTCCCAATATCTGCCAACAGGTGATTTTGTATGGCTAACCGAAAAAGAAATAAAAAATCTCGATATTTTTTCAATTTCTAATACATCTAGCAAAGGATATGTTCTAGAGGTTGATCTGGAATATCCTGAAAGTCTCCACGACACTCATAATGATTTTCCTTTTTGCCCTGAAAATTATAAACCACCTAATTCAAAATCTACAAAATTAATACCAAATTTAAAAAATAAGTCAAAATATGTAATTCATTACCGATTATTAAAACAATGTCTACAAAATGGACTTAACATTTCTAAAATTCATAGAGTTATACAATTTTCACCATCTGCTTGGTTAAAAAAATTTATAGACTTAAATACCACACTACGAAATCAATCGAAAAATGAATTTGATCGCCACACATACAAATTAGCAAATAATAGTATATACGGAAAAACAATGGAAAATGTGGATAGGAGAGTCGATGTAAGACTTGTTACCGAATGGGAAAAAAATAAAAGAAAAGATGGAGCTGAAAATTTAATAGCAAAGCCATACTTCAAGGACTTAACAATTTTCTCAGAAAACTTAGTCGCTATTCAAATGAAAAAAATACTAGTTACTTATAATAAACCAATATACGTTGGATTTTGTATTTTAGACATATCAAAAACTGTCATGTACGATTTTTTTTATAATTTTTTACACCCTTTGTATAAAGATAACGTATCTCTTTTGTATACTGATACAGATTCTTTTATTCTGGAAGTGACAACAGAAAATGTTTACCATGATATGCATAGAAATATTCATAAATTTGACACTTCCAATTATGTACCCAATAATATGCATAATATGCCAAAAACACAATCAGTGGTTGGCAAATTTAAGGATGAATATGCTGGTGAACCCATTGTAGCTTTCTATGGTACCGGAGCAAAAGCTTACTGTGTAAAAACCGAAAATGGTTTATTAAAGAAAGCTAAAGTTATAAGAAAACATGCTATTAAAAATCAGTTGCATTTTATCCACTATAAAGATGTAGTAGAAAATAATTCTAAAGTTTTTTGCTCCGTGTATGTTTTTCGTTCTAGACTACATTAAATTTTTACTGAATTAATACATAAAATTGCTTTGAATTCTGAAGATAATAAAAGATCTTATTTTACATGATAAATTATTTAGTTACAATCCTTTAACAAAGATTGTTAAACAATTATAAACTTTTACCGCCACCCTCTTAGATTTAATATAAATAAGTAAACATAGTGTCTGTAGTAATAGATATGTCTTCAACACTACAACTAGAAATACAAAAATTTATTTATAAAATACAAAAATTGAAAGAACAAATTGCAAATTACTCAAGGCAAAAAAGCCTAATTAAAAAGTTTAGTGAACTAAAAATATGAGGTTGATTGTGGATATACAAGGATTTAAAGATGAGAAAAACACCTTTTTACCTAAAGAACTTGCAGCTTTTGATGGATATAGAATCTCACATTATATCTTTAAGAAACCCTATCCATTAGACTTTCTGTCACCAGAATGTCACAGACAAGCGGTATAGCTAATGAAAAATCATCATTGTATCAACTGGAATGAAGGATTTACACCTCACCATTATTTTTCAAATATAATTGAAAAACTTATTGAAGAAGCTGAAGTGGAATTTGTTTATGTTAAAGGAACTGAAAAAGCAGAATTTGTAAAGAAATATTCCAAAAAACAGTAATTGAAATAGATGAACAACCAGCTTTGCCTATCGGACCACCAAAATGCTTTTATCATTCTAAGTCAAATTGTATGTGTGCATTATCAAATGTTTTATATTTGTATGATAATTTTTTTATGAATGAATAAAAATCTATATAGTATTTATTACATCTTTTATTAAAATATAATTTTATACTAAATTAGTACTTCTACATCAACTAAGTTATTGGATGAATTATCCTGATTAACTAAATTGCTATTTATTTAGTGTTTACATCATCTGCTACTTGTTCGTAAGGTATTCCCCGATCTTTAACAAATTTATTTAAGTATGTTATTTGATTTATAAAGCCTAAGTCTATCATTACAGAGAATACCCTAATATATCATAATTTTCATAATATTGTGCACACGCACTCATTCCTTTTTTATATTTACGAATCATATCATAATATATTTTTTCCATCTGCCTAAGTTTTTGATATGTTTCATGAAATGATTCATAAAATTCTTGATGAATACATATTACTGCGCTAATAAGTTCAATATTCTGACTTGACATTTTTCACCTTAAAACAAAATATAGTTTTTTAAATATTCCGGAGCACGATATTGACGAAGAAGTCTGTTTTCTTGATATTGTGCTCTTAACTTCTCCGGGTTGTGGTAACTTGTCTTTAAATCTTTGCAGTAACTGATCTCTAGCGTCAAACAAGTGGAACCGCTCGAACACCTTTAACATTTCTATTATAACTTTTGAATTCTTCGTTACTCTCAGGTATGGAACAATGTGTGTTAGTTCACTTGCAAAATATGTATGTCCCAATGCACGCACAAACTCGTAAAGATTAATCCTTTGTAATAGAAAATCAGCACAAAACTCAGTTATCCTATGACAATTTTTTTGGCAAAAATAAATCTTTTTGATTAATTAAAACTATTTGATGAGAAATAGATTGATGGAAATCAGTATATTTTTGAATCAGCTTTCTAACAGCATTAGTTATTTTTTTCTTATTGTATTGCATCACTCTCGATGAATAAGAGATTCGCTTTACTTTCTTCTAAAGACCTACCTTACAAACTATATATGACTAGGTAGAGATATAGTGGGGATAAAAGTAGTGGAAATTAAGAGGAGGTAGAAATGAGGAGTAGGAGGTAGAAATGAGGAGGAGGGTCTCTCATATATTACCTACTTATCGACTTCAAGGTATATCAAAAATGTTTTGGTTTTGTTTTTTTTAACGCTATTTAGAACAAAATGTTAAACAGAAAAGTTATAAGGAAGGTTAATAAGCACATTTTAAAATTACTGTAGAGTATACAGGGTACTTCAAAAAATGTTTGGATTTGTGATTGTTGTTCGGATATAACATATATTTTTAATGAGAATACCCTATTTTTATTTTATAATTAGATTCTACGTACAATTCGGTAACTTTTTGTATATCGAAGGTCACAGTCTGAGTAACTCGTATCATTTTTTGATACGATTTTCCAGGAAAATCTCAAAACATACCCAATTTTACATTAAATTATTATAATTTTTTAAACGAATTATTATCTTATAGAGCCGAGATATCAATACTTTATTATCAAATGAAATATTTTGAATTATTTTTTGTGAAAATATAGCAAAAATTGTTTTATAATTTTATTAAAAAAGCATACGAGATCCTGCCTTGTGACCCTCGATATGATATTATATATTAAAATTAATAGATTTAGAGAAATGTTAGATTTCGATACGGTAAAAATTATCAGTGACGCAAAATTTGTAGATTCTATCGGAAAAAATGATAATACATACTTTTTTACTGGTGCGACTGATCCCGGTTATACACTGCGCGTTTTTGTGGTTGCCGCAGAAACGCGCGGCACCGGCATCGACTATAAATAAACTACACATAGCGCTTGCGCCAGTGTTTCTGCGACAAGACAGTCGCAAAAACGCACAGTGTACCACCGGGCTAAAACAACTGCCACTACCGACCAGAGCTATGTAAGTTAAATATTCAAAATCCGGCAAAAGTTTTCGATTCACGACGGCTGTTGGCGCTGCTCGTCAAAATAATGAAAAAATGTTTGTACAGGGATTTTCCTTACA